AATCTTATTGGGTGACATTCCTCTGATCGCTACAACAGACAGTCTGTGTTTATCAACAAACACTTCACACAGAGATCTCAGAGAAACCTGACTCCCTCTGTGGGTTTCAGTTTTCATTACAAAACCATGTTACCTAATACTGAACGAGACAGTGAGCCACCTGCTGCACAGAATTGCTCATTACAACATAAATCACAAGCACCCAGAGCAGATTGGTGATATAAAATTATTAGTTTCAATTCTAGTAATTATAATAACCCTGGTAATAAGTGACTGTATTTGTGTTGTAGATCATTGAGGCCTTCTACAATGAGACATGGACTGATCGATATAATGACAACATCCCTAAAACAACCATGACTACCCTGTGGTCTCTGTCTGTGGCCATCTTCTCTGTGGGTGGCATTATTGGATCCTTCTCCGTCGGGCTGTTTGTTAACCGCTTTGGAAGGTGAAATACAGTTGTAGCCATTGATATGTTTTTAACATTATGGCACCACCATCTTTTACATTATTTAATTCCTTGGATACTATTCAGTCCTTGTTTCTGATGGTAATTGGATGATTTTAATGTTTGATTATAAAACTCTTCCTATTTTTCTCATTTCAGGAGGAACTCCATGCTCATGGCTAATGTCCTGGCTTTCATCGCTGCAGCACTGATGGGCTTCTCTAAGATGGGGGCATCCTGGGAGATGCTCATTAGTGGACGGTTTGTGGTGGGCCTTTACTCTGGTCTGTCCACTGGTTTTGTGCCCATGTATGTGGGTGAAGTGGCCCCCACAGCCCTCAGAGGAGCCCTGGGCACTCTTCACCAGCTGGGCATCGTTATTGGCATCCTCATGGCTCAGGTACATACATACTCGGGACATTTTTGCCATTTCAGTCACCATTTGGCTATTTCTATATATTTATGTGTTGCTTTGTGTATTGTAGATCTTTGGTATGGAAGCAATCATGGGAAATGCCACCATGTGGCCATTCCTCCTTGGCTTCACCTTTATCCCAGCCCTGCTGCAGTGCTGTTTACTGCCCTTC